TAAAGGTGGGAAATGGTGAATTTGTGAAGGTTAAAGGCAGGAAAGATGTGGCTGTATAGACCTTGAAAGGTACAAAAATCATTTCTAATGTGTTGTTTGTTCCTGAAATCAACCAAAATCTGCTTAGTGTAGGACAAATGCTTGAAAGAAATTACATCCTACACTTTGAAAACAAATCCTGCACAATATTAGATAATGAAGGAAATGTGATGATGCATGTTAAAATGGTGGGGAAGAGCTTCCTAGTTGAACTCAAAAAATCAGACTTTCAAGCTACTATAGTGAATTTAGATGACATAGACCTATGGCATAAAAGATATGGTCATTATCATTATGCTGGCCTTAGGCAAATGAAGCTTAAAAATATGGTGCATACCTTACTCGAAATGGAAGAGAAAGAGAGCTTGTGTAAAGTATGCCAAATAGGGAAGCTTAGCAAACCTGCCTTTCCAACAAACCAGATATTTCACTGATGTGTGTGGACCAATGTAGACCACATCCCTAAGTGGATCTAGATATTTCACTTTGTTTATTGATGATCATTCAAGAATGACTTGTGTGTACTTCCTAAAGCAAAAAGGAGAAGTTGCTGCTGTGTTTAGGAGGTTTAAAGCTCAAGTTGAAAACCAAGTTGGTGTAAAGATCAAGGCTGTGAGAAGTGAAAATGGGGGTGAATACACCTCAAGTGAGTTTGAATCAATATGCAGGGAGGCTGGAATATGGCATCAGTTTAGCTGTCCTTACACTCCTCAACAAAATGGAGTGAGTGAGAGGAAAAATAGGACAGTGATGGAGATGTCAAAATGCTTGCTAATTGAAAAAGGGCTACCAAAGGAGCTGTGGGCAGAATCTGTGAATACCAATGTTTACTTGCTGAATAGGCTTCCAACCAAGGCTTTAAAAGATCAAACTCCATTTGAAGCATGGTATGGAGTCAAGCCTCAAGTGGACCATCTTAGAATCTTCAGGAGTACATGTTATGTCCTCATACCAGCCATCAAAAGATCAAATCTTGATGAGAAAGCAAAGGCTAGAATTCTGGTTGGTTATAGCCTCCAATCCAAGGCATACATGGTCTATATTTCGGAGTCTAAGAAGGTTGTGGTTTCAAGGGATGTAAAGGTTGATGAGAGGTCAGTGTGGAACTGGGAAGAGAAGAAAATTCAGGAGGATACACGACCATAGCAAACAAAGCAAGTTGTTGACCAAGTTGATGGGGCAGATTCTAATACAGAAGAAGAAGTATCAATCAAAGGAACTAGACCTCTTGCTGAGATTTATGGGAGATCCAATGTTGTAATGCTTTAACCAGCATCCGATCATGAAGCAGCCAAGTCAGAGGAATGGAGGATTGCTATGCAAGAGGAGTTGTCCATGATAGAAAAGAATGGAACATGGAAGCTTGTAGACAGACCTGTCGAGAGAAAGGTGATCCAGGTAAAGTGGATCTTCAAGAAAAAATTGAACCCTGATGGTTCAGTTTTGAAGCACAAAGCTAGGTTAGTTGTGAAAGGCTTTGCACAACAACATGGTGTAAACTTTCAAGACACTTTTGCTCTTGTTGCTAGGCATGATACAATCAGGTTAGTCCTTGCTTTGGCAGCTCAATTCAAGTGGAAAGTTTATCAAATGGATGTCAAGTCAGCCTTCTTGAATGGTTGGCTAGATGAAGAGATCTTTGTTAAACGACCTGAGGGACACGAAGTCAAGGAGAAAGAAGACAAGGTCTATTTGCTGAGAAATGCCTTATATGGCCTAAAACAAGCTCCAAGAGCTTGGTACAACAGAATCAATGACTACCTGGTCTGCCCAGGTTATGCAAGGAGCCCAAATGAGCATACTTTGTATGTGAAGAAAGCCAATGAAGATGTGATCATGATTTCCTTGTATGTAGATGATTTGCTGGTGATAGGAAACAATGCTATTCAAGTTGAAGAGTTTAAGAAGGCAATGCACAAAAAGTTTGAGATGACTGACTTGGGAGAGATGACCTATTTTCTGGAAATCCATCAATCTCAAGATGACATTTTTATATGTCAAAGGAGATATGCTAATGAGATGCTAAAGAAGTTTGGGATGGATAAATGTAAGTCGGTTGCCACACCTTTGGCGCAAAATCAAAGGCTGTGCAAAGAGGATGGAGTAGCCCCGGTGGATGAGACAGATTATAGAAGGTTGATTGGGAGCTTCTTGTATTTAACAACAACAAGACCTGATCTAATTTTTGCCACTAGTCTCCTATTAAGATTTATGAGTAAACCAAGTGAGGAGCATCTTAAAGCAGCCAAGAGAGTGCTGAGGTTCATCAGAGGAACTGCAGATCATGGAATCTGGTTTAAGAAATCTGAAAATGTCAGATTGGTAGGCTACGAAGACAGTGATTGGGGAAGCTCTTGTGATGACATGCGAAGCACATCAGGGTATGTTTTTTTGCTGAATTATGGAGCTTTTTGCTGGTCTTCCAAGAAGCAAGAAATAGTGGCTCAATCCACTGCAGAGGTTGAGTACATATCAGCTGCTTTTGCAGTAAATCAAGCCTATGGTTGAGGAATTTGCTGGCTGATATGGAGGTAAAACAGTGTGAGCCTACTGAAATTTTTTTGTGATAATCAATCGGTTGTTGCTATGGCAAAGAATCCAGTCATGCATGGTCGAATTAAGTACATAAAAATCAAGTTTCATGCAGTGAGGAAGGCTGAGCAATGCAGGGAAATCAGATTGACTCACTGCAGGGGAGAAGTTCAATTGGCTGACATCTTTTCAAAGTCTTTATGCAAGTCCAAGTTTGAAGACTTGAAACTTAAACTTGGTGTCTCAAGCAAAAATATCAAGGAGGAGTGTTCAAAATAGTGATATTTTGCTTGAAACAAATATTTTGATTATGCTGGAGCTGGAAACTGGCGGCAAAAGGGCAGAATTTGAAGTTGCGAAACCTGTTTAGAGCAGTTCACGTAGCTGGTCTGTAGGCATGTTGAAGTGATGTTTTTTGGTGAATTCAGCTTGCATTTGGCTGCCAACTTTATATCAACTTAATGTGATGTAATCCGAGTTGCTAAGAATGTATGGTTAAAAAGTTATTTTGGACTAAAATATGTTTTATGATTAGGTAAAACAGTATGTCTGTATGTATATAAAAACTCTGCTGTATTTTCTGTAACATGTATGAACCAATACAAGTCCTTCCTCTCTCTTGTTTTTCTTTCCTTTTCTCTCCCGTATAACCATCCTTACATGCTCAAATAACCAACACGATACACCGACTGGTTTGTATATCTGTGAGCTGAACCGATGATAAAGTCAGGATCTTCCACCTCCAGTATGGAGGTCCTCTTCTTCTTGCTGGCACTAACATTTGGACAGTGTTCTAATTGCTTAAAAGCTTTGTGTGTCCCTATTCCGGCTGCCCCAATCATCATTCCCAGAACCATATACAATGGTAAAAGTTCTCCTGTCAATGCGAACCTGAAATGATTGAAAGATATCATATAATTAGTCATTCTCTCCTGTGTACATTCTTATATTTCTTGATGTGAGAAAATTGTTGCAAGACAAAATGTTGTAGTTCAAAAAAATTAGAAAATCTGCATATAAAAATCTTCAATCATGTAGCATAAGTTCAAAATGTTGAGAAGCAAATATATGATATATATTGTCTTTTATACTTGTTGTAAGGTCGGTTTACTTCAGCTGAGTCAGTAGTTTGAGCAAAGAGTTTCATCTTGGGAGTAGTTGATGTTGTATATGGCCGGTTTTCACTCGAACGATTGAACACTGATCTCCAGTAACCCTGCAATTTTGTTTATTGTCAAGATCACAACAGTATATGCAAACGGCAGAGATGAACTTGTTCTAAGAACTTACAGTTGCTCTGAATGCCATACTCCCTAGATTACTTAAAACTGATGAAACTCTTTTAGTGAATTCTCAATGTTGAATTGAGTGTATGATTAAGAGGATTAGTTTACATAGAGAAGAGGAAAGCTGGCGGCAACCCAAATTTAGAAAGAGGCTTGTCTACATGTTGGTAAGAAGAAACTGAAAGCTCTAAATTCCCCTTCCATTTTTGTTTGTTAAGATTTCACTTCTTGTTATAAATTATTGGATGTAATTCATTATCTCACGTCTAACTAATGCAAACAAGTTTTTAAGTTATTGGTAAGGATTGAATAGCTGCAAATAGATACCCGGTACTTACAAAAATGGATTCTTCAGGGCCGTTTTGCCTCCTGCTGTGGAGCAGCTTGCCAGGAAATACATAGAGAAATCTAGTTTGCAATACTGGAAAAGCTATTTATTTGATATTACAATGCACGATGATGATGGTGAATATATAAATTTTACAGCTTGCCAAGATTGCTTGATCTTGCTGATAACACAAAGAAGAATGCGGAAACAGTTGCCGAAAATCTGAATCTTTGATAGATATTTCGTTGTTTTCTCCAGAAAACTGATGTGGGAAGAAGATGTGTTTAAATACATGATTTTATTATATATTCTGAAACTCTAGGATCTGGGAAATTTATGGTCTCTTGATTTGTGCTTACATGCATGAGTTTCATGATCTCTCCTGCTGGGTTGCATGTGTACTTGTTGGATGATTGTTTAAGCCTTTAGAGAGGTTGTAACTGTTTCTTAAGTACTCAAAATGATTCTGATTAAAAACAATAATATTGCATATCAAGATCTGCGTCCTAAACGATGTGTCAAGTCTCTTTAGTGTTTCAACTTATTATACTTCATGGCTTGAGCTTGACTTAAACTAAAGACGAGTAATAAATACTTGGTAGGATTATTAGTTTGAAGGGGATTCAACAATTTTGTCGAAAAAAGGTTAAAATATATTTTGAGCATGCTTTTGTTATGCAATGCATTGCCTTTTTCTTACAAGAAATTATATGTAATTTACAGAATCATACAAATGCAGTGGTGCCTGTTTTATTAGAAGAATAAATCCAATAACACAAGGATTTGGAGAGCCTAGCACGGAATTCTGATGACTAAAGGCTCTCATTTAGTAACTAATACCATAATAAAATCTATAATCACAGCAGAAAGAGAACTAATCGATGCTGTTCTATGTACAATTTGACACCATCCTGGATTGCTACTACTACTCAAGAAACCACAAGTTTCAGAGTTGACACAAGTTAAGATCATTTTTCTTCAGGAGCGGCTTGGATTCGCTCCAGCAGTCTTCAGTGTCTCTACATTTCGAGGGCTGCAGTTTCCAGCAACATTAACCTCCATCAGAGTTTTTGCAGTGGGCGAATCTTGTAATGAAAGATTTATAGAGCAGATGAAAGTTACCTGGTAAAAGGGTTGGGGCGAGTAGGACTGGGGAGATTCTGTTTGTTGTCCTGGATGTGAGCTACCTTCCTTAGGAAGGATTTATTCACAAACCTATCAGCCGAACTGACAGCATGATCTGGCTCCTCAACCTCTGATATGGATCTCCTTTTCTTCTTGCTTACGCTAACGTTAGGGCAATGTGCCAATTGCTGTTTTGCTGTGTGTGTCCCTATTGTCAGTGCCACCACCAACATTCCCAGAACCATATAAACTGGTGCAAATTCTCCTGTCATCGCAAACCTGAGACAATCGAAAGGATATCATACCACAAAAGTTCTAAATGCTTGATAAGAAAATGTTTGACATACACTGTATCACTCACTTGTTGTAAGACTGATTTGCCTGAGCAGAGCCCGCACTTTGTGCAAACTGTTTCATTTTGGGAGTAGTCGATGTTGCGAATGGGTGGTTTCCGCCCAAACGATTCAGCATTGATCTCCAATATCCCTGCAATGTTTGTCAAGATCACTATCAATGATCACTTGACAACACAATATACAAATAGAAAAGACGTAACATGTTTTAGGGTACTTACAGTTGCCCTTAATGCCATTTTTTTTTCCAGAAAAACTGATAAAATCTTTGTTATATTTTGAATGTGTAATTGGGTTATTCATTTATAAAGGGCAGGGGAGAAAGAGTTTGCAGCCTAATTATAGAAGCATTGCAATCTCAAGAACAGTTGGAATTAATGCAGCTTTTCCAGGAGAACATATTGGCGGTTGGTTTAGATGTGGATAGGATTAAACTGAAATCTTTGAATTCTTCAGTTAGGCAGAGGCCTCAAATTTCAAGCAAAGTTGGCTGGTCTCACATGTCCAATTAAGGTAAAAAGTTCTAAATCATTGGAGACGGACGAATAACTAACTGAAGATTCATTTAGGACGTCTTGACATTTTTTATCCACAGGCTCTCCAAGCATTCTGAAAATTTGTCCTAGTGTTGTTCCATCGACCAGAACACTTAAAGAGGAGCTCCCATATCTATCATCTCAATTCCTCTGGTTAGACCATCTGTAGCATTCATGGTTACTGCTCAAACTCGATTATTTTCTAATAATTGTTGTACCTTACAAGTCACATTCATTGGTTGACCGACACTATTCTTACCCTTAAATTACGAGAGCGTTGTAAATATTAGACATGTCGTAATTTGGAAATTTTAAGATGTTTGCGCCAGGGACATATTATAAAACATCTTTAAGAAAGGTTTTAATAAGAGAAACAAACATCCACAGGAAACAAGACTAGCTAAGACAGATTCAGATTTTGAATGAAAAATTGATTGCCTTCCATGATGCAAGAACTTTTAATTTTGTACAAAATGATGATACCTACAACCCAAAAGAATAAAAAATCACAGCTAATGTTATTTCTATCTTAACTCACCAGCCACTACTTCTGTTAAATAGGTTTGAAGTCGGCCATGGATTTAAAGAATTTGATGATTTCTTCATCTGCCCTTCTGATTCCATTAGCAGCGGCAGCTTCAGAACAAGGCTGAACTTCCCAAATTTGTAAATTAACACTATTTTACATTTTCAAAACCCCCCCAACCCGGAAATATTTACACATACCACTAGGTTACCGAACTTTGATATCTGCTTCCCTTGATTTGCAGCTTCTGAATTGTAAGCGGGAAGAACGTATCATTGTCAGATGAAAACGATTAGTCCTACATGAATATTGTGGCCAAGTGATTGTCTAATAATGAGTGAAGTATGTGTTTCTACTGGCCAATTCAGAAATAGGAAGATTGATCTGGGATGATGTTCATTTGCCTAAGAACTAGACCAACTTTCTTTTTGAGTGAATCATCGTCGAGAAGCTGGATGAGGATCCTTTCGGATTTCTTAAACAAGGGATCAGTAAGCTTTGTATGCTTCAGGATCTTCTGGAAGAGATCAAGGGCTTTCGTTTTTGCAGATAAGGATCCTTTTTCCAGGACTTGTAGAATGGCTGTCACACCTTGGCTGTCGACAATAACAGCCGTGGCAGGAGACAAGGTGCTGTGGTCTATTAGCAATGTTTCCAGTGCCATAAGAGCAGCCTCCGCGACACCAGACTCTATATCGCTCAAGCTTTTCAACAATGGCTTCACTGCATCCGCCTTGACAAGGCAGAATGTTTCTCTTGGTGAACAAGCAGCACCATGAACAGAACATAAACTCGGGTGTTCTGATGAGTCAGAGCAGCACAAAGACATATCCGGCAAGAGTTTCATCAGAAAAAGCATTGGCGTTGAGGTATTAGTTTCAGTTGCAATTCTGGTTGCATTGGAGACTGACAGGCTGGTGGATTGGGATAATTGTGCAAGTGCAGTCGCTGCTCGCTGCTTGGCCATCGAGCTTCCTGAGGAGAGGACTCTAATTAGTGATGGATACAATTGAAGCTTTCCCACTTGCCTCTGAAGTTCAGGCTTGGAGGGTTCTGTGAAGTGTAAAAGAGCCGCGAGCGCATTCTCAAGTAGACATTCATCTTGGCTTGCAGGTATCCTGATCCCGAAATGTTCCCCATCCATGCTGCAAATCACCTCATGAATGGCTTTCAATACTTCTGATTTACGAAGTACTTCATCAACAACATCATCGTCTTTCGGAAGCCTGCTGATGATTCCAGAAGCAGTGGACCTTTCTTCGATGTCTAGAGAGCTTGTGAGAATAGTTGCTAGACTATTGATGGCAGTTTCTTTGCCGGGGGAAGGTGGGAGTTGAACCCCATTAGGATGGCCTTCAGAAATGCGATATAAGAGTTTCAATGCCCATCTTCTAACTATTGGTTGGTCACCATCTAGGGAAGAGAACAGGTTAGTGATTGTGTCGTCATTTGATTGGATTAGGTCCCGAACTTTCTCTGATTTATAACTGAGCTCCACCAGTAAGTGCAGAAACTGAATCTTCACTTGAGGTTCGGAACTAGCTACGAGCTGCAGAAAGAGACTGATGTTATGCTCGGATTGGAGTTCCTGCAAGCCTTGAAACAACTGGAATTGAGGATGCTGACAGGCTTCAACCATCAAAGCAAGAATCTCAGCAGCTTGCTGCTTCAATTGCGGATCAGACCTGACAAATGAGATGAGGCCAAGCAGAAGTGGAATGGTCACAGGATCTGATAGAAGCCTCTTTAACATTCTCGGATAGGCTATGAACTTGTTGATGCATTTGAGGCAAGCCGATTTGCTAGCAGGCGAGTTTGAAGAGAGCAGCTGGATTATGTTGTGTATAAATGGCCTCTCTTTCAAGACTGAAATGCTATTTTCCTTGAGTTGCATATTCATCAAGGCTGCCGCCATCAATGATCTGGTCTCTGGGGATCCTGTCAGAAAGACTGTTCAAATGAATACACAGTGAATTGGATGAAAAGTATTCCTATCAGGTGAACTATTCTACCTTGGTTGAAGCAAGCAACAAATGGTTGATAGTATCCAGCTTCAGCCATCTTGACAGCGAAGTGCGTGTTCGAGGAAAGATTCTGCAATACACTGTGAGCATTCTCTGAGACATTTGGATCGTCATTATGGAGCAAAGAAACCAAAATAGGAATGCAGTCTTTTGTTTTCCCTATTTTCTCTCCAAGGGATTCTCTCTTGGATAGCTCCAGCAAGACTGCAAGAGCTTCAGCTTCTGTTTCGCCTTTATAGATCTGCTTCACAGTGTGGCGAATCGCCCCTGCTTGAACAATGGCTTCCTGCAACTCTCGAGCAACAACTGTAATGTCAGAATAGGCGAAAGATTAAAAAGGAAATGGGATTTATCCATCTCAACTTTGTTTACCTTATGATCATCACTGAATCTAGCTAGGTAGTAGAGGCATTTCAGCGTGGCCTTGGCGTTAAGCCTGTTATCCTTTAAGAATTCCACCAGCTTTGGAATGAATTCTCCATCAGTTTTTGCTGCATACCGAGGCATTTCCATAAGACTTTGCATATCCTCCAAGGCCTTGTTTTGCCGGGAATGATCATTGGAATTGATTTCAACAACTGCAGCTTGGAATTTCAAGTCCATCTCCCTTTGCTTCCATTCTTCGATAGAGCTTCGAAGATTAAAATTTGGCGTAAGATCAAGAGATGGAAGCTCCTCTCTGCAAGTGGGGCACTTCTTTTCGCCTCTCTTGAAGTGTTCCTGAATTGCCTGCCTCTCAAAGCTGTGACCGCAGACAATTGCAACGGCGTCTTTCATCACCTCATTGCACAAAGGGCATATTATCGATTCAATTGGGAATTGCTGGTGATATATAGGAACTTCCTCATTTTCTGGCCTTGTAACAAGTTCTGTATTATACAATAACTGTATCAATTGATTCAACTGAAGTGCTTCTGCTTGCTTCTTTTGAGCTTCCATCTCTTCTTTTTCCTGCTTCAAAATCGCCAACTCATTTTGTACTAGCAATGTATTTGCGCTAGCACCAACAGCTTCTGCAATCTTCTCCAGGAGATTCACAGCATTCTCTCTATTTCTGTTGCTCTGTGATATCGAATTCTCTATCTCCATAGCAATTCTTTCTGTTGCAGCCGCTGAATGGAACTCCAATGACCTTAGACTGTCAACAATCTGATTCATCATCGCCTTTAAGTTCAGCGTCATATTAAGATTGACAAGCTGAAACGACTCCATGGTCGTGGCAATCTCCCTGGACAAATCCTGCATTTCTGACAGCACAGAGTTTGAGTGAAGCAAGAGACGCAACCGGCTTCCAGATTTGTAATCTTTAATAATCTTACAGGCTTTCCTCAGCTGACCATTCAAGGTCTCCAGTACAGCTTTAGTAGATTTTAAACCCATTGCAGCTTCAATTTTCCTGGGATCTAAGGCATGAAAGAGGGTATTCAACTCATTAACACTACTGGAAAATTCCTGAAAACTACTCTTTCCAAGTACCACATCTCTTGTTTCACTAGCAAGGTCCACTGCTTGAATTGCCACCCTGTTCCACGATTCCTGTAAAACTGCTATCCCAACATCCTCAATTCCAAAATTGAAATCCATCGAGTCCATCAGCTCGAAAATCACGAAACAATCGAAAATCTCCAAGTTCTATCAAAATCAAGGACACCCCTTTTAACACTGTAACTTTTAGGCCCTCAGGGGCATTTTCCAGGACTCAAAATCAAGCCACCCTGGTGCTTCATAAAACACAAGTATTTCTGTCCCAATTTCAACAATTTCTGTATCAGGAAAATTCCAGGATGATGCAATGTAAACTTTAAAACATGGTATCAAAACAAAAAGAGAAAAATCTCAAAAGTTGCTTACCTGAAGATGTAGCCAGGTAAAAATTCTGAATCAGGAAAACTCCAGGATGAGTCTGTGCAGCCTGGAAAGGTTTGAGCACTTTTTGAAGGAAAATTCTGTGTGTAAAAAGATTGAAAGAATCTGGAAAGATTTCATTTGTAGTTTGAAAAATAAAAGAAAACTCAAAAGGAAATACAGAGGTTTGAGTTGAGTTTCTTTATTGGTCGGTTGTGCTGTGTGCATTAGTCAATCTCCTTCCTTCTTCAAAGTCTTCACTTCCGTCGTGTTTACTGGGCCTGATCCTGACATTTTCACACTTAACAAAAAAGTCCCTTTTGCTTCCTTAACTAAACGTGTCTCCTGTTCCTCCAAAACAATTTTTATTTATTTATTAAATATTACTAATATGACGTTGCACGATACTTCTTTATCATTACAGTTTTTACAGGATTTTACCCTGAATAACATAAACATGAAAATTTTGAACCCGGAAGCCGGAATTCGGTTCAATTTTGACTGTGTTCATGTTCTAGACTGCTCAATTTTTTTTTTAATTGAATATTACTAATATGACGTTGCACATTACTTCAGTGATATATTTTTATCAGGATTTTACTCAGGGTAACATAAGGATGAAATTTTTCGAACCTAGAAGCCGAAATTTAGTTCAAATTTGACTGCCCATATTTGTTTTTGGGGGGGATTTTTTATGGGTGTACGAAGATGGAAACTGAAGACTAATGGGATGTTTGTTATGGAATTTTATAATATATAGTTTTTAAAAGATTGGAGAAATAGCTTGGAATTTTCAATGCAAAGACCAATTCCTGAGTGTGTATACTGAGGTTTTATAATTTGATTAATAAATATGGTGTTTGGTCTTCTGGGGTCCGAGATTGCGTTTCCAGGATGGCGTCCAGAGAGTGACTTCAATTATTATATTACCTATACAGAGTATTAGTTTTCTCATCCGAAAGGTTTGTGGAAAACTCAGGTCCAAAAACTTTAAAATGTGATAAAAACACCCAAAATTTTACTAGACTAGTGGGTTTAGGATTGTCAATTATTTCTTGAGCTATAATCCAACAAATTTTTGGTGACTAATTTGAAAATTGACTATTCTGTAAAAGGATTCCAAAAGCAGGTTTGAGTGACATTAGTTACACAAATATCTTAACTATTAATATAAAATCTAAAATTTATAAAATAATTATTTAACTAAATTAATAATTTAATAAATGACCTCACCGAAAAGTTTTCAATTTTTTTTATTTACAAAATTTAATTTCGAAATATTTTAACAATAAAAAAATATATATTTAAAAAGTTACCTATTTTGATCATTTTACATATACTATCATATATCCTCTCCTAAAAGTAAAAGAAATTAAAAATTGAAAACAACAAACATCTTATAAATTTTATTTTATCTAAAATTAACTCAAAAGTGATTAAAGGAAAAGCAACAATAAAAAAAAAAAAACTAAGCCTAAAATATATTAGTTGGTTCGTTATTTAACCATTTTCTTTTATTTTGAATATATAAAAATAATTTTAATTAAGATTATTACACTACTTAATATCAATATGATTTATATTTAAAAAAAAAAAAACCCAGATCTCATCTTCCTCTCCCTAACTAATTTTATTTTTGCAATAGTCTTTATCCTCTCTTCTTCACCAATGAATTTTGAGTATTGTAATTGAATCTAAAGAAAGAAAAGCAAATAGGTGGCTTTGGGATTTTTCCCAAAAGGAAAAATATAATCTTTATAATTATATTATATTATTATCTATTTTAAATTCTAGATATTCAGTACTATAAAATTAATTTTTTATTTTATAATCTAGTAAATTTTAGATTTTTTTGAATTTTACATTTGAGATTATTTGACCACTTTACCCTTTTACCGATACATTTTATTAACATATGTGAAAAAATTATCATTTTCTGAAACTATTGGGACCAAGTGATACGACCCAAACCTTTCGGGATAACAAAAAATTAACCACTTTGATAACGCGTTGAAGTGTTGGTTGGGAAGGGAATTAAATTATTGGCTTTTTTTGGCCACAAATGTTTTCCATCATCGGACACGTTAGGAGTTTTAAAATAAAGAGGGTAAAATTCCCTTTTGTAACTCTCGAATCAACTTTCGAACCTTGATCTAAGGGCTGTGAAAAGCCTCACCCCACTTTGGATTTTATTTTAATTTAGATAGAGCAGGGAATACATCTAGCTCCATTTCCTTCTCCAATTTATTTCGACGACAAACATATAATAAAAATAATATTATGCAAGTCAAGAGGGTTGGGCCGAAGCCCCATTATGAAGAAAAAATATAAAAGATATGAGAAATTGTCAATAAAAAAACATTTTTGTGATCGAAATTGTAAATTTTTATACTAAAAATAGTTTTAATTTTGTATAGGATGAATACAAATTTGCCCTTCCTTAAAATAGCACCAGTCTTAGTCTTCAAGCTCTTGGGCTTTTCTTTTATAGGCCCATTGAGCCTAATATGTTATTTCCAAAAGGTACGTTAAAGAAGCATATGAAAGGGTAAGTGGTTTTTAATCCCTTCAAATTGATCACCACTCCTCCTCATTACTAAATGCACCTCTGCTATATTAAACATTTGAATCCTCATTAATACCAAAAATAGCCCTGCTTATTTAGTTTTAATTAGGTTTTTCTTTAAACCCTAGTTAATACCAAATATAGCCCTGCTTAATTAGGTTTTTTTGTTTGCACCTATTTTCCCCAATTTCAAACTTAATTACGTTTTTTTGTTTGCACCCATTTTCCCCAATTTCAAATTTAGTTCGGGGTTTTTTTTAAACCCATTTTCCCCAATTTTAAATTTAATTGGAGTTTTTGTTTACACTACTTTTCCTTAATTTCAAAATAAATTAGGTTTTTTTGTTTATGCCTCTTTTCCCTTTTTTTTCCGTTTATACCTCTTTTTCCAATTTCAAATTTGAAACTTATTTTTTGTTCTTAAGATTCAGATTCAGATTTAGATTCATCTTCTTGTATGATTACTTTATTCATAGCTTTAGTATTCTATTTCTATCAAACAAATATATATTTGAAAATAAAAAAAAAAAATAAAAAAACGTTTCTGTGATTTAGAAAATTTAGAGTCAAGGTTTCTATAAAAATTAAAGGTTAAAAATATAAAATAAATAGCGTGTATTTAGAAATTATTATATCATTTCTAATAATTTTCACTAAGGTTAAACTATCAAAATATAAAAAATTTAAAAGTGGAGATACTGATCAATTCGATGGGAGCTAAAATTCACTTCCCATATGAAACTCTTAATAAATTGACACCCAAACCAATTTATTTCTATGGACAATTGACTTATGAATTAAAAATAATTATTTGAATGACATTACAAAATAACAAAAGAATAATAATGAAAATGTAATTTTATTCAAGTAAAAAAAAAGGGTAGTAACTTGTTATTACATGTGCAGCATCTTTTACTATTATGATGGAAATTGTGCTCTCTAATAAGTTTCAAAATTAATCTTGTGAATGATCATGATAGTGGTCATGTAATTTATTGTTGGGGTAAAAAATGTAGATAATTACATTTCTTTTATATATAATATATAGTATTATAGGGATGCATTCCAATTACTAATTAAACGAAATGACAAGAAACCCTTCTCTCATAAATAATCAGATCATTTATTTATTTTGTTATTTTATATAATCCAATTTTAATGTTNGTGAATGATCATGATAGTGGTCATGTAATTTATTGTTGGGGTATAAAATGTAGATAATTACATTTCTTTTATATATAATATATAGTATTATAGGGATGCATTCCAATTACTAATTAAAGGAAATGGCAAGAAACCCTTCTCTCATAAATAATCAGATCATTTATTTATTTTGTTATTTTATATAATCCAATTTTAATGTTTATTTTATCAGTTAAACGGATATTCTAAATTTAAAGGTTAGAATTATGCCCTAAATCAACATCATCTATAAAATAAATTTTATATTAATTGTGTAACGAGGCTCTCAACATGGTCATGATAAGATTAAATTGTATGTAGTTATGAGCATAAAGCTATCAAAATTTAGTCATAAGAATGATAATATACCATGCCTGAATCATGATATTAATCATGAATTATAGTTGCCATATTATATGTATTTATTATTATTTTTTTTCATATCTTATGCATGTTTATATAAGGATGACTTTTATTCACAAATTATAGGAAATGACAAAATTTTCTTTATCTTTAAAATAATTAGATGAATTATACTATCATTATCATCATCAACGTTATTATTACCTCTTAGGCTCTTTTATAGGCCTACTAAGGCTAATATGCTATCCCTCATGCATATGTTAGAAGTGAAAATCACCATTTTTTTTTCTTATAGACAATTGAATTAGGATTAAAAAATAATTATATAAGAATATGAATTAAAAAATAATTATTTAACAATACTAATGCATAATATAGGAGTACTTTTTAATTATATATAACTAGTTGAAAGCCCGTGCGTTGTGTGGGTTACTTATGAAATTAGTTTTGACACTACATTTGTTTGAATAATTGCATGATTCAATTGGTTGGTATTTTTTTTATTATTTTAAGAATAAATTCTAATAATTAATCTATATTAAATATTACGATTTATTCATAAAAAAAAAACACACATCATAATATAGTATGAATGATCAACAATCCATGGGCCAGGCCCAGTTAATAAATTCCCAAATAAATTTGCCCAAAGCCAACAGAACCTGGGCTTAGCCTTCATCTCTTTCTCAAGAGCACGCACAACATTTTATCTCAAAAATTCTAGAATTCTCTTCAAATTTTCAGATAGCACAACTCTATCCCTTGCTCATTTCTCTTTCCTCGTATTCCCTCTCCAACAAATATTTCCATAAGTGAGGTAACTAATAAAATGAATGGAAGAGTGAAATAAAAACTTATTAAATTTATTATTTTATTTATTTTTTACCACGTTAGAAATACTTTTTGTAAAATTTAATTTTTGTAAAATTTATTGGTAAGTATAGGATTACCTCAAAACCATAAAACCAAAAACGAAAAC